CCTGGGGGTCCCCAGGTCGGTGACGGTGATGGTGATGTTGTACTCGGATCTTGTCTCTCTGTCCAGTGTTTTTTCCGAAACTAGAGTGAAAAAGTTCTTGAAGGTTGGTTTCAGATAAAAGGGGAGGTCATCCTGAATGGAGCACACCATCCTCCCGTTGTCCCCAGAGTCTTGGTCTCGGACACTAAAAAGAGCAACCAGAGTCTCTGAGGCATTTTCTGGAATTGACTTTGTAAATGATGAGATGGTCACTTCTGGTGGATTATCATTTATATCTATTACTTTAACCAGAAGAGTACATTCTTCTGAAAGACCCCCACCATCTGTTGCCTGAATACGTATACTGTAGAACTGTATCACTTCAAAATCCAGGCATGATCTCAAATGAACTTCCCCGGATATTGGATTGATTTCAAATGTTTTACGAATATCTTCTGATGCATGCAAAAATGTGTATGATATTTTCCCATAATTTCCTGTATCCAAATCGTTAGCAAAAATGGTGATAATCCAGGAACCAATGGGTGTGTTCTCCAGAATTTGCACTTCATAGAGCTTCTGAGCAAACTGAGGGGCATTGTCATTGATGTCCAGGACCTTGATGAGAACCAAAGTTGTCCCAGACCTGGGTGGTGATCCACCATCCAGTGCTGTGAGTGTTAGTGAGAGCTCAGACTCCTCCTCATGATCTAATGCTCTGTCCAGAACCAGTTCTGGGTATAACTTTCCATCACCGCTATCTTGGATTTTAATGTAGAAATGAGAATTGGGGCTAATTGTGTAGTTTTGAAGACTGTTGGTTCCTACATCCAAATCTTGGGCACTCTCCATTAGGAATGTGGTTCCAATGCTGGTACTTTCTGATATTTTAATAAGTATACGTTTGTCTAGAAACATAGGGGAGTGATCATTTATGTCTGTGACTTGCAGTTCAGCCCGAAAGAACTGTAAAGGGTTTTCTAATACCATCTGAAAATGCAGCACACAGGGCTCGGTGGAGCCACAGAGCTCTTCTCGGTCCAGTTTCTCATTTAGGAGCAAATCCCCCGTCCATAAATCAAGTTGTAAGTGCTTTTCGTTATCATCTGACACTACCCGGGCCTCCCGTGATGATAGCTCCTCCACCCCAAGCCCTAGATCCCTTGCAAGATTGGCCACAAAAGAACCAACTTCTGTTTCCTCTGCCACAAAATATCGCACAGATTCAGGACCTGCCTCAGATAATCCCAGCAAAACAAAGAGAATCAGGACTTGCCTTTTCTGCAGAGCGAGCTCCCCTTTGATCTCCATGGCTCCTTCCAGCAACTTCTTTTGCAGAAAAATCTTTCAGCCCTAATTTTGGAAGTTGAAGCTCAATTTTTAAAAAATAAGAACCCCCCTGGAAGGTATGTAGCACTCAGCAGCTGTAGTAGATGAAACTCCTGTACTACCTCTCTTTTCAGTGACTTGGCTTGGTCTCTGTTCCCCAGAATAAAGAAGCCTACAGTGTCCTCTATGCACTAATTTCATCTTATCCTACAGCGCCACCATGTGTTTCTATGAATTTTTTTCAGTAAAAATTTTCTCTTTGAACAAATAATTCATGAATACAGCTGGAATATTTTAAAGCAAATCCCAGACATCATATATCTTTACCTCTAAATACTTCACCAAGTATCTCTAATAGAGAAAGACTTTAAGATATAATTATACCACTATTACAATCAACAAAGTTAGCAATAATTCCTTGATAGAACTTAGACCCAGTCTGTATTTGGTTTTCTTCATTTTTTTCTAAAATATTTTTACTGTTTGTTTGAATCAGGACCCAAACAAGGTCTATATAGAGCATGAAATTAGTGCTGTTTTGAATACTGACAGGACTCTATTAAGATGTCCTGAACCGAAGAGTTTTTTTGGGGGGGGGGGGGGGGACAGACGTCATGAATGGAAGAAGTATGTCCTGAACTGAAGAATTAATATTTTTTAGTGGCACCTGGGTGGCTCAGTCCTTAAGTGGCTGCCTTCAGCTCAGGTCATGATCCCAGGGTCCTGGGATCAAGCACCGCGTTGGGCTCCCTGCTCAGTGGGCAGCCCTCTTCTCCCTCTCCCACTTCCCCCACTTGTGCTCCCTCTCTCGCTGTGTCTCTCTCTGTCAAATAAATAAATAAACTCTTTAAAAATAATATTTTTAGAACATTTCTTTTTAAATTAACTTTTTAAAAAATATTTTTATTTATTTGGGAGAGAGATCAAAGAAGGAGAGGGAGAAGCAGACTCACCACTGAGCAGAGAGCTGAGGTAGGGTTGGGTGGCTGGACCAAGGGATCATGACCTGAGCCAAAGGTAGACGCTTAACCGCTTAACCAACTGAGCCACCCAGGTGCCCCTAAGGCATTTCTTGAGATTTTCTAATATATGCTCTCCTTCACTCTTGTAAATACTTTTGAATTCAATTATAGTTACTAATGTCATTACTTTTTTCACTTATATATTTTGAAATACATGTATTTTTAAATACACATTTTTACACATGTAATAATATGGAATAGATAAGATAGATTTAATCCTTGCCTTTATGGAGTTCACTGGCTAAAAATTTGGAAGACAAGTAATTGAAATATTTCACAATGTATGCCTAAACAAAGAGTAATACAGAAAAATTAAAAAAAAGAAATATCTAGAAGAGCCACTTGTATCACAAATTAAAATGTTTATTTTGTGGGCAACTAAAATACAATGTAGGATTTTAAACATTTGATTAAATGATTAATCAAATGCAGATAAAAAATCTGCATTTTTTAAAAAAATCAGTTTAGGGGGGCACCTGGGTGGCTCAGTGGGTTAAAGCCTCTGCCTTCAGCCCAGGTCATGATCCCAGGGTCCTGGGATCGAGCCCCACATCAGGCTCTCTGCTCAGCGGGGAGCCTGATTCCCTTCCTCTCTCTCTGCCTGCCTCTTTGCCTACTTGTGATCTCTGTCTGTCAAATAAATAAATAAAATCTTTTTAAAAAATCAGTTTAGAAGAAGTGCAGAGAATCAATTTCAGAAGGAATGACTGGAATCAGAGGCACCAGTTAGGAGATAATGGCAGCCCAGTTAAGGATATTGCTGGTGTGGATGGAGAGAAGAAGGATGATTAATTAGAAAGATAATTGGGATCTGGTGACTGGTGGGTTGCATGGGGAGAAAAAGAGGAAAGATGCGAGGATGATTAACAGAACTCTGGATTGGACAACTAGATGGATAGTCGTGTCATTCTCTAAGACAAGGAACACTGAGGAACAGAAAAGATTGAAGTGAAAAAAGATGAAGTCAATTTTGGATATGCTAATATTGAGGTAAGTGACTTTGGGGTATATATATGTGTGTTCACACATGTATGTGCTTATGTAGTGTTGTATATAGGTACATATATAACTGAAGCATAGGATACAAACTGGGGTAGAAATGGACTTTGGGTTTCACCAGCGTAAATATGATGATTGAAACCCTGCGAACTCGTAAACCAATGAAGCAAAAGTATGTCAGGTAACAGTTGAAGAGGCTCAGCATTGAACTCTGAAAAAAAACGCCTTCATTAGAGAAGAGAAGAAATAAAGTACCTTTAAAAAGATAAAGACGGAAAAAAAAAGATAAAGAAGGGCTTTGGTCAGAATCATGAAACCAAAAGCAAATATCATTTCAAGGAGGTAAGGAAGATCAATGGTAGCAAATGCTTTCGAAACTACCACCTTGAAAATGAATGTTAAAATGGCCCATTGGATTAAGTTGGTCATTGTGGAGGGCTCTAATAGATATCTGCCAAAATCTGTTCCTTTATAGTAAGAGCACTACTGTATAATAGTATGCAGGCACATGACTACTCATAGAATGCCTGTCCCAGTCTCCTTTGTAGTTAGGTATGGCCAATTGAATTAAGTTCTCACTAATATTGTGAACAGAATTTTTGTTTGCCATTCCTGGGTCTAGAATAGAAGACATCTGGGTGGGTTTCCTCCCTCCCTGCCAGCTAGAACCTGGACATGGCAGTGAGGTAGCTACAGTCACGCAGATTATGACACTGCAGTAGGGAATGTAGGAGCAATTACTTATAACAAAATTTGGTTCTGGTAGGATTGTAATGAGAAAAGCCGGCTCATCTACCCAGTCATTTACACTTGAACTGTTAGAAGGGGATAACATACTTTTACAAGCCACTGGGTAGTTACACTGCTTTGTTGGGCAATATAACCTTATCTGACTTTTACAGAAAACTTCAGTCACCTTTACCATAATAGTTTGAGTGGTCACAGTGAAAATCAGATTGCACTTGGTTGAAAAGCAAGAGGTGTAAGGAAGTAAAATTGACAATCCTTTCAAATTTAGCTGGAAAAGAAAAGAAACTGATGGTATCTGCAGGGAAATTGAGACTCAATGTTTTTTTTTAAGCCTAGGGAAATTTGAACTTAATTAAAATGCTGATTTGTAGTATTCAACAGAGAAGAAGAAAAGTGAGATACCAAAGAGAGGATTAATTCAATGCGAAGCCTCTAGAAGGTGGGTAGAGAGACCTGGAAAATAAATGAAGAGATTGGACTTGGGTAGAAAGTGACCTCAGCATAGGTCATTATAAGTACACACGCTATTCAGGGTGTGGATTTGGGGATGGAAAATTGAGAGAAATTCCATTTGATAGATTCTATTTTCTCAGCAAGCTATTATGCAAATTCATCTGCTGAAGGGTGGGAAATTGAAAGTAAGATAACTAGGTTTGAAGTAGTTGTTATAGAGAACAGAAGAGAAAGCTGATTAGGAAAATACAGAACAATTTATTGGTCTTAAAGTCCAATTAAGTTTTGATGTGATAAACAGTGTCAAAACAGTGTTGATGATTTCTAAGTTTTGCCTTATAGAGTGCAGCATCAGTGACATAACAGAAGTGGAAGGAGACAATTACATTCATCTGGAATGGAGTTTCAGTGGGTGGTTTCAGTGAAGGAAAACTGAACAAGGGAATGCAGAATATGGGGATGAGGAGTAGACTAAAAGGCTGAATAGGGAGAAATTAGAACACTAGGGGGTTGAGATATAGTAGCAGTATCATGCAGTGGAGGTCCTAATGAAGTCAAAGTGATAGGAGTAGCAGAATGAGAGGATTAAAGGCATAGATTGTATTCTCAGAGAGAAAGAGAGAGAGAGAGAGAGATCTGAAATTATTATTTCTTAGGAAAAACCATTTCGGGTGGTGAAAAAGTACAGCGTGTAGCCAGGGGACTAAAGACTGAGCTGGGGGACAGGTGAATACCTAGGGACTGAGAAGCCCTGTTGTTTATCAGTGGGACTGGGAGTGGCAGCAGGACTTGAGGTAGGAAGGAGATGAAGGGAACAAAGTGTTGTAAGCTAAAATGTCTTTATGTCCTTTCTCCTGGGAGATTCCAACCAAAACTGTTACTTGGTTTTTACTGGTAATGTTTCAAGTAAATCCTCTCTGGGAGGCTGGGCCACTTCTCATATCTCCATTTTGTAAGTGACCTTTCCCCCCATTGGCTTAAATTTAACTCTAAGTGAGGTATTCGAAGTATAAAGACAAAATTTGGTTTTAGCAATACTTTTGAAGAGAATTGTTACTTCTATCTGTCTGGGCACCTGAGCTCCTGAAATCCTGGCACTCTCCATTAGAGTCAGGAAACAGTTCTTTCTATAAATAAATACCAAGTCCTCTTGTTCAGATAATCCGGAAAAACTTGAAGCAGCAGAACCTGGTCCTTTTCTCTGCTGTTGCACCTGATAGAGTTTCTGCCTGAGCTGTTTGAACTGCTCTTTCCCCCCCTCCCCTATAATAAGAGAAGACCCATCTTACTTGGGACACAGGCTGCTAGAACCATTCCCACCAGTGTTTTTAATGGCATTATTGAGATATCACTTACGTACCATAAAGTTTTCCCATTTAAAGTGTAAAGTACAGGGGCACATGGGTGGCTCAGTGGGTTAAAGCCTCTGCCTTAGGCTCAGGTCATGATTCCAGGGTCCTGGGATCAAGCCCCAAATCAGGCTCTCTGCTCAGCAGGGAGCCTGCTTCCCTTCCTCTCTGCCTGCCTCTCTACCTACTTGTGATCTCTGTCAAATAAATAAATAAAATCTTTTAAAAAAAAGTGCCACCAGGGCATAAAACACATGACTCCCGTGCCCAGCATGTGGACACACTCAGTGAACTCACTTACCCCTTTAAAAAAAGTGTAAAGTACAGGTGCACATGGGTGGCTCAGTTGGCTAAGAATCTGACTCTTGAATTTGGCTCAGGTCATGATCTCCGGCATCATGAGACTGAGCTCAGCATTGGACTCCATCCTCGTGCAGAGTCGGCTTGAGATTCTCTCCCTCTCCCTCTGCATCTCCACCCATTTATTTATTA